CCATCGACGTCGAGCGGGCGCCAGCAACGTCTCCATTCGTCCCTGTCGCGTGCAAGAGTTGTCCAGTGGACCCTCCTCGCTCGAGGGACACGAAGTCCTTCATTCCTTTCGTTCAGAGCTTTCGTGAAGAAGTCTGACCATCGGGCCGGCGGTCGTCCAGGTGTTCGTTTGACGTCCCGAGGGATCCAGTCGGTAACCGCTCTGGTCCAACGGTCATCGCAAAATCGCATGACGTGTCCGGCCCACCTTATCTTCGATTCCTTGGCGAAAACGGCAGCGTCCCTGATCTTCGATCGTTGGCGTAGTTCGGAACTCCGGATTCCCCTCTGCACTTGCGTGTATAGGGTTACTCCTAGCATCGTCCTCTCGACAGCGCGTTGGATAACGAGATGACTTAGAGACCGGAAAACAGCGGATAGAGGTCAGGAGGGGAGGGGAAGCTAAATGTCAGGGATGGGCGTGGCTTACATCAAAGTGGGCGGAGTTTGCAATTAGGCTTATAACTCGGTTCCTAGGAGTCCCGGAGTCCGGGAAAAAAGCGTATAAGGGTTGGCAGAGGGAAAGGGGTCAACCGCTGTTGGCGGGCGGAGCATGCACCAAAGTGGGCGGGGTTTGCCACGGTACTTCATAACTCGGTTCCAATAAGTTCCGGAGATGGGAAAAAAGTAGAAAAAGGTTGGGGAAGAGATGATAGTCAACTGATATCAGTGGGCGACCCATGCACCAAAGTGGGCGGGGTTTGCCACAAAGATACGTAGCTCGATTTCGTCCCCTACAAGACCTCATAATTCTGGCTCCGAGATGACTTAGAGACCTGAAAAAATGTGTATAGAGGTGAGAGGAGGAGTAGAGGTTGAATGTGAACGCTGGGCGTGGCACACCCCGAAGTGGGCGGAGTTTGCCACCACTCTCATAACTCGGTTCCTAGAAGCCCCAGCGACCGGGAAAAATGTGGATAAGGGTTGCCGGAGGGAAAGGGGTTAAATGCTATTGGTGGGCTAAGCTTGCACAAAAGTGGGCGGAGTTATGCACGAAACATTATTACTCGGTTCCAAGAAGTCTTGGACACCAGGAAAAAAGTATAGAGGTCAGCGAAGGAAATGAAGTCTCAGTGGGCAGGACGGGGGAGTTACCCATGATTTTCGAAAGGGGAGTGTCTCCAAAGCAGTCCGTACCTTGGAATCTCACTCAGCAGCTCTGCAGTAATAGAGAGAGAACATTGCTTACAGACCAGCCTTACCACCTTCCAAAAAAAACCCTGTCTTGGAAGAAAGACCCTCTCCGAAACCGCCTTTCGTTGGAATCTTACTCAGCAGCTCTGCAGTAATTGAGGGAGAGCATTGCCCACAGACACGAATTTCTCAACTACAAAACCTTCTCAGAAGTGAAAAGCATACCCTGCCCCAAAAAACCCTCTCCGAAACCATCGTCCCTAGGAATCTCACTCAGGAGCTCTGCAGTAATAGTGAGAGAACATTGGTCACAGACACAATTTTTCAGGCTTACCACCTTCCGAAAAAAACCCTGTCTTAAGAAAGACCCTCTCCAAAACCGTCCCCTTGGAATCTTACTCAGCAGTTCTGCAGTAAATGAGAGGCAACATTGCCCACAGACAGAATTTCTCAACTAGAAAACCTTCTCAAAAATTGAAAAATATACCATGCCCCGAAAAAACCCTCTCCAAAACCGCCGTCGCTTGGAATTGTTGTTTTCGTTCGCACCTAGAGATTGGGTACTGTCTTTTGATCGATTCTGTCTGAAACACGTAGCTCAATGCGGTGTAGGAAATAGAAAATATAGTTTGACCTAATAGTCGGTGTAAATGGGATGTACCGAACAGAAAACTAAAATCTAGAAAAGAATAGTGATCATCCTGTTTGAACCCCCGTGTGATGCACGCGAATGCGTGCGCAGCCAAACTGGTATATCCATATAGTTGTAAAAGTTGGTTCGGCAAACAATTTTACACCTGTTGAGAAAAGAAAAACACGTGTACTCCTAAGTTTTCCCCACTTTTGTACGTAATCGCCCCTGAACGGAGATTGAAAAAGTCAAAACAGCGAAAAAGTACCTTTCGGCGGTACTCGGCAAAATCCTCAACGTGGCCATTTTTTAATACTGGACGTATTTAGCAGTTCTAGTATAGAGCAAATCTTCTAGTTTATGATGACGTATTAACTTTTCAGATTGGATGAGTTTGAACGGAGTTATGGCTTTGGAAAGTGTAAAAACTCGTGCTCATCATGAATTTTCCTCGTTAATTGATCTAAATTTGTTATTTCTTATAAATTTTTGTAATTTCAATACTGATTAGAAAGAGCTCTTCACAAAACTCCAAATCTGCTTTCAGATTGAAAATTCGTCATATTTGAAGAAAGTTATAATCATTTGAATATTTGTTCAAATTTCAATAGTAGATAAGCTGCTCCACGGTCAACGCCAAAGATCCAGTCAACACACAGCTGGCTAACAACAAGGCTTCTTTCAACTGAAGGGGGACGTGTAATTGAGAGCGTAGTACTAAAAGTTGGTGAGCCTTCCAGAGGAGTATTGGAGAAGATGCTGCATAGTCTGTTTTTTTCATGACTAGTTCGCCGTTTTTGGGATGTCCCCCAAGAGGCCCGCCGCGCAGCGAAGGAAGAGACGCAGACGCGGCAAAGGACGAGCAGCGCATACTGTTGCGGTCAGGCTGTCGGTTAAAGGCAGCGGTTACGCTAGGTTTAAATGTGGTTTGGAGGGGACGAGGGGGTCCTCAATAGTACATCAGTGGCGAAAAAAGCAAAGAAATCCGTCAAAAATAAGCAAAATAGTGCCCCTTTGATTGCCCTTTCATTTTCGACCATGGATGAGCGACGGTAAAGAACGACGTTGTTCGGACGTGTTAACCCCGATAGCCGCCATCATGCCAACAAGCATAGTGTTTCGATTGATAAGGCATAACATGGGCAAGATGGAAGATACAGCCGCTAGATGGGAAAAGATCATCCAAAATGAAAAGCCAACAGCAATCAGTCCATCCAGATCATCAACAAAACCAGTGGGCGGGGCGGCGCATGGGGCGGAAGGGCGCAATGGTCCTGCTCAGCAACCACAGCACTGTTCGCAGTGGAAGCGCCACACATCGCTTCCTTGGCGGCCTGCTAATTGCTCTGTGGGGAGCAGGTTCTCCGCAGATGTGAAAATTCCTTTCCGTACCTACTTCCTTTAATGAGTGTACACATAGCGTCTCATATCGCACAGCACATATCGCACAGTTCTTAAACGAATTTTCTGGTGGACGTTGGGGTAGCAGGGCATTTTTATGAAGACTTCTGGGGGAGAATTGAATAGCCTCTTCATAGTTCGGCCTCTGAAGAGGTATGTTCCATGGACTTCGGTCTCTGGAGCGATCACGTGACTACTTCAACTCTGCCCTGTGCTCTCTGCTGCGGGGAAACCCATAGGGCAGACGATTAGAGAAGGAGAGGGGGGCGTATTTCAAAATTTTCCTCCATGCCTCGCTTGACCCTGTCTGTGATGGATTATGGGTACCACCCACTGAATAGATTCTTCGGCACTACTTCTGCCAGGGGTTTCCGCTTTAATCTCCACACGTTGGAACTTTCATTGACCGATTCACATTTTGAAAAAAAGTCTCATAACTTCTAGAAGCAATGCGAACGATCTGATGAATTTATAGGTTTGTGAGAGAACTATTTATATGAAAGCCATTTATTACTGATCAAAACCAGTTTGAAAATAGTTGATCTCGTCTCCAAACTCTCTTAATTGTCACCGCAGTTGGGGATCTTCAATGCAACCATATCTTCCATAAATGCTCACTTCACGTTCGAAATAGTACATATGGTCCCTGATACCCGTAATGCAGGTAGTAGCCGTTGCTGAAAATGAAGTTTTTCATCCGTTTTTCTCATTGATTTCTGATTATTCTGAGGGTGATTTTTCCTCAGCGGTGCTTATTCGGGATCAATCTAGAGGTGGCAAGCGCATACTGCGACTAGCGACTCGTTCTATCATTTTCCTGTTTCAAACGGGCAATAAGAGCGTCTAGGGGGACGGCCAGGGATTGTTCGTCTTGTTCTAGATTTTGGGCCCGACGTTTACGACTCTATGGAGCCTCTGTGAGTTCGTACCGTATGCTCTCCCGCATGCTAGTCTTACTTCGACTCCGAATCAGGGTCAACCCTACGCTGGCACAAGTACCACGGGGGGGGGGTCGTAGTTTGTTGAAGTTTGTGGTGAGGGGGTCGTAGTTTGTTGAAGTTTGTGGTGGGGGGGTCGTACATACTTGATTCGGTAGCATGAAATTACATGTGATGAGGAGAGGCGCGCGGGAAAAAATTTCCCGTCTTTGGAAAATGCTTGTAGTGGAAATATAGGTAAAAAGAGGTAGAATAGAGTGAAAATGAGGGAAAAGTAAAGGAAATGGAGGAAATATTTGTGGTTTTATTGTGGCCGGAGGGGCTCGTAAAATTTGCCAAAAGGTCCCAACGATGGACCACCCTGCTCGATCTTCTTAAAGTTTGTTTCTTTGTTTTATTTTTGACAACAAGCTTAAGGGAATTTGAGACCAAAGCTCGTCCACGAGTCTGAAAAAGCAGCCCGACTTACTTATTAAGGAGCTTCCTTGGTTGACAGATGCTTTCCCTTTTTTCCTTCCTCGAAAGTCAATCAGCATCTGATGCTATATCTGCTAAGGCCTGCTCCAGTCTACTGTGGAATGTGCACCTAACTCCAAATGGGTACTCCACGCCTGAGACCGCATCTTATCCTTCCCAAGGGGGACGCGGCGGATGGCTCTTCTTTCCTCGTTCTCCGCTCCCCTTCGTCACCCTTTCTCTCTGCCTTACTCCCCGGCCGCCCCCTCCACCCCATGTTTGCGTGTCCCTAATGTCCTGCACCGGTCACCGTAGAATTTCCATCATTTTCACCCGTGCTTTTTCCAGCCCCCCACAGCGGCACTCTGCTCGCTGGCGCTCTCTCGAGCGAGTAAGTGTAAACTCGAACATCCCAGCTTTTCACGCATGTGAAGTGACTATCCTAGGTTGGGGAGACAGGGTTGCATCATAGGACCAGCCATACCCGGTGTCTCTAGACTCGAGACAACGCGACCCTTCAGAGAAAAGAGAGCCTCGACAAGGGGGGGGGGTGGCTACACAACACCCATGAGACTCAACTGTTCTTCTCATAAGCAAAGGAGTCAAGTTAGTATAGATTTTAACGGCTGTTATGCTATCACCACTATATATAATAAGTTTGTCTGCGTGTCTGTTTGCTCGTTTTTTACGAAATTTGGTACTACCTGAAGAATCTGAAAAAGAACCCATCTGCAGAGTGACCGTCAAGTTTTGGATGGGTAGGGCATGGGCCAAGATGTACCAAATACATATCAGCTAGGCAGGGTACGGCAAATTTCGCGGTGTCGACTGCAAACGTTTCGAGTTCGGTTATAGAACAGCCTGAAGACCTGGGAAAAAATGAGTGAAGGTGTGCTTTTAGTTGGTAACTCAAAGCAGGGAGACCTGGCCGCGGTGGGCGGAGCGTTCTCCGAATGCGCAGAGCATAATGGGAAAATCCATAAGTAGCTTAGGAGAGCCTATGGAACGTAAAAATCAGTACAGCAATATCCAAGGTGTTCTCGGCATATCTGAACTGGGTGGAAGTCCGCCCATAGTGGGCGGAGCACGTCCTCACGTGGAAGTATTTGAAACCCTGATAATCGGTTTCGAGAAGTTCCATGGACTGGGAAAAAGTGGATAGAGACAACGGAACGGAGGTCAACAGTCACAGGGGGTGGGGCATGTACCAATGTGGGCGGAGTTACTCACGAAAAATAACTCGGTTCCAAGAAGTCCCGGAGACCAGGAAAAAGTGGATAGAGGCTGGGGGGGGGGACGGTGAGGTCATGTGCTGTTGGTGGGTGGAGCGGGCACCGAAGGTGGGCGAAGTTTGCAAGGAGGCATTACAAAAATATCGTTGGCCCTATTTTAGATAATTGCAGTCCCGTGTGATGCACCCGGCGGCCAAATTGGTCAATAATAATCTATACAAGCACAAATGTCCATAGGGTATATACTGTATTTCTGAGTATAACGCAATGTGTTGGCACCTTCAAGTAGAAGCACTCGGCAGGGTTACGGTATTGCTCACCTGCACGCATCATCCTCAAACATTGGCAGACCATTGCACACTCGATACAATGCGTTCCGTGTCATATTTGATGGGAACCAAACTTCCGTGCCATGGTGGTACGGCGAGTGATTCAGCAACGAAACACAGGAACGGGAGATCGGTCGAATCGCACACGCCGGTAGGTGAGCCACCTGAATTTATGCAGTGAGGGAGCAAAAGCACCATAATGGCCGTAAGGGACGTTTGAATTAACGGAACAAATAGTGTGACACGCCACGCACTCAAATTCTGTTCAAGATTGCCTCCTTTGTGTTTCGGTGGCGATGCAAAATGGTTAATAAAGGATAAAAAGGATAAAGCATTTGCCGTTGATCAATCCCTTTTGGGATGCGGCACGCATTCTACTTCCATTTGTACATTCGCAGTGGCGTTTGAATGCGATGTGGCCTATACAATGACTTGCGGGGGCCAGCCGATGTTCAAGTCAGTGTTTTTATCCTCCCAGACAAGTCTGGTACCAATTAACCGACCCCGGAGGGATGGAAGGCTTGGTTGGCCCGGGCGACTCACGACCCAGGATTTGATCCCGGACCGCTCGCGTGGTGAGCGCGCCACTTGTCACTGCACCACTTCCGCCCTGACTGCGTTGACTTCCACCAAAATATGAAACTCACTAATTGGCATTTGAACCTAATTTAATCAAGCAGGCAAGTCCATATGTTCATCGCATGACCAATTAAATACGGACTTTTGTACAGCAGAGCTTGCGGCGATACCGTCTTCTTGGGGTACCCAACAGGAGGCCCGTCGCGCGGGATGAAGGCCAGAGTCAGAGAGACGAGAAGTCGCAGCGCGTACTGTTGTGAGTTCGCGCCAATTGAAATAAGAACATAGCCTTAATGCTACAATGGCGCATACACCGCCTTGTGACTCGTCCGCTGGGCTACCAACATAACCGTTGCGACGGGCGCTCTGGCCTCGCGGTACATGTTTCCCTTTGTCTAGTGAGAGTCCCAAATCGGTTAAGTCGATCTTGCCTTATCCACTCGGTTGCCGCTTAAGCCGAGGGTCGAAGCATAGTATTAGAGAGTCAATGGGACATACAGAACAAACTTGACGTTGTACAGTGAAGCCGCTTCCGTTATCAGCGCATACAATTCTGGGTGGGGGGGGGGGAAAAAAAATTGGTTGGGGAAAAAGGGGGGACCATGGCAACGACTGAAGGACCAGTCAGAGCCTGTTAGATTTCCTAACTGTTTGTCTTCATAACTTAACATTGGAGAACAATTGAGAAAACACATCGTACAATAGTTTAAATAATCGAATAAAATCGAGCTGTACTTACCAAATCGTACTTGTGTACGATTCGCCAGCTATTCGGAATCAGCTCACTATGAGTCACAGCATATTCGTAGTTTCCCACTCGCGGCTGCCCAAACGTGATCAGGTGGATCCTGGATAAAAACGTTAAATTTATAGTTTGCATTATAAAATTAGTCCTCACCTGTCTACAACTGATGGGTGTCTATGAGCGAACATTAGTGGAGGCGAGGCTGGCCAGCGCACCTCCTAAGGAGCTGACCAGTGAATAAGATACGGTGTTGAGGGTATGTCTAGACAAAAACACTAATTTTGGATTTCGTAACTATCCCACGAGCAATATTAAAGGAATCCTTCGCGGAAAATTCTTGCATTCTTTCTTGCGTGAATGTGATGTGATGTGATGTGATGTTTATTAAATGTGTCAGTTGTGATCACTGGAAACAGCACACAAAGTTTCACGCATGAAGATTCGGTTTCCGAAGAGAAACAAACGTACAAAAACTACACTCTATGGACAATCGAAGGTAATTCGGGCGGAGCCAAAGGCGAGGCATGGAAAGAAGTTGGCTTTTGGCCGACTACGTACGAGGCGACGCAATTTGAAAGAATGGCCGGATAAGTGCACGAGGTTTCGCGAGAGTAGTAGACCATCATCGATAGCAATGATGGAGGTTAAGAAGTGCAGATGTGGAATGCATAAAGCGAAAGGTCAGATAAGAGTTTTTTAGTTAAGGGCACTCAGGCCAAGTGAGCATCCCCGTCGAAAGCATTTGTGAAAGACGTCCGTAGGCACTTGAACGCGTAGCAGCCCTTTCGATTTTTCGATTTTTTTACCAGAACGAAAGCAAAATTCTTTGTTCTTTCCTTATTCTTATCGTGGAATATGAGTCTCAAGTCCACTTGATTATGGCTGGAATTGAGGCATCATTCATTTCTCGCTGGATTCCTTCAAGGAACAATCGTTTTTGAGGATAACGTTTTCAGGACGTTGGATTACAAAAGACACCATGCGCATCTACTATCTGTGGGGGCCCACTCAGAATGAAAATCGAGATATTGAATGAACTGCTAGTGAAGAAAATAATGCGGGCGAAAAAAATAATCGAGACGCTTAGAGCGGAGGGACCGTTTTCCCTTGCAAACGGTGATATCTAGTGCGAACGGGTTCGCTTTAGGCACTGTTCGAGGTGAGGAGACATGGGATCGGGCGAGGAGCGAAGACATTATCGCAATTCGCGCTGTGGGGCCGTGTACGATAGATGGTGTGTATGATGGTGAGCCAAGTTGTCCCTAGGCGGCGTTTTGTCCATGCGTTTTGAATTACGCCTTGCTTCTAGATGAATACCTCTGCAGGTAAGGGAACAGGTTACTCTTTTCAGAGTAATGATGCATAAACGAATGTGGTCGCGGAGTGTGCCTTGAAGTTTTAAATTGATGGCAAGATTTCTCACTTTTCTTAGCTTCCTAACCACTGCGTACAGCTCTCTCTCCAAATCGATTGCAGTGCCACATAGAAATAGTGCTGTACTGATCCGCCAGAGCGTAGCTGAAATATAATTGGACTGATTTAGCATGAATTGGGAACGAAACGCATGGATCATTTGTGAAGGTCAAGCTCTACAGTTTATAGCTGGATGTATTTCGCTTTGAGCAGGGTGTCATGTACGGGAATAAACAAAATGAAAATGATGAAAAAAAATGAAAATGAAAAAAGAAAAAATCAGAGAAAACGTGAAAATCAAGTTCAGGCGGAGAGCATCCCAAAGACTCTTAAACCCAACAATGACCAAACTCAATTAGCCAGAAATGTTTCGATACCCCTGCCTTTTTGCTTCTACTTCCATTACTGGAGCTTCCACTCCTTCTTTCTCCCAAATCAACAGAGCACTAAATAGAAGAGGATTGTGAAAGGCGTTACTGAGAGTTTGAACCGCCTCTGAATAAATTGGATTGAACCCAAGTTTTGACACATTTGACAAGATTGAGTTGACAAAAGAATTTGACGGTTTTGAAGAGTTTTGATTTGGGTAACAGATTTCGTGATCTTCGCTACGGATAAGTCAGAGCGCAAAAATAAGAAATCCTCAAAAAATGTCTTCGGTTCAATTAGAGGAGCAGTTTACGATAAAATGCAGCCTATTAAAGATGAAGGTAGAGGTGGTCGGTGGGGCAGGGATGAAAAAATCTATGGGAAGGGAGGGGAGTTGTTGTCTAATTTCTCTGGGCCTAAAACCAGAAATTAGACTCCTTCTCTGCCTGCTGATTTCCGCATTGATGCCACTCTCATCGGTACTGCTCTCTTCAACGATAACGCTCTCTCTCTGCTAAACGGCTGGTATCAGACGGTGACAGGGGGCGTGCTGCGTTGTTAGCGGCGCGAGACGGCCCATGCTAGACCGCCGGGGCATACCCTTCGCTGTGAGTTGCGTGTCGGTCGGCATTTCGACCTGGTATTTCCTCTTTTTATCTTTTCCCTTTTTCCTCTCTCGACCTTATCGTGGAATCCTTTGAATTTCAAGTTTGGGTATAAGCGGCACGGGGTGGAGGAATTTAGACGTACAGGTTTCGGTTT